GGAGGGAGCAACAGCAAAGAACAGCAAAAGACACACGGAAAAGCGCACGGATGAGACTTTAATTATAATAATAATTAATAATAATAATAAAGTAGGACAGTCCAAAGTAGACTATAAGGAAACAGAGACCCCGGGAAGTTTTGTCGTTGTGTTTAGTTTATATATTTTTTTTGGAATTTTTTGGTTGTTGTTTTATTTTGGTTATTTTTTTTCACCTCTCCTGGCTATTTATTTGTTTGGTATGAATAGATGTTTTAAATAATATGAACCGGACCTTCAAGAGCCTTAAATAGTTTGTTTCTTGGATAATTTATTATTATCATGTGAACTGTACTCACAGGGGGGAAAGATTATTTTGTGAGGCCAAGCGACCTGCTCAGAGTCTATTTTTCTACATATCCCTCGCCCTGACTTTCAGAAAGCAAAACTCTGCACTCCGCATTCCTCGTTTGCCACGCGCCTGCTTTTCGGCAAGTGTAAACTAAAACATGCTTCATGGGGGTCCGCAAATTATATTTTTATACACAGAATTGTAAATTAGATTTTTTGAGAGATCAATACTTAACTGAATTACATTTCATTTTTGAAATAGTGTAAAATATGAAAATATATTATTTTAATTTAACTAGTTTCCAGTGTAACAGCCACCTCCTGTATGTCTTCATGGGTTAATATTTGCTCCATCGTCACCATTTTGGCCACATTCTTGGAAGTCAAGACTGTTACACACACATTCACACTCACACACACACACACACACACACTTTTTTTTTTTTGGACAAACTGGAAGAACTCTGTTATTTTTAACTTCAAAGAATTTATTAGAAAATAATATTTTTTAAAAGCGCACATAGTGATGAGCCCACGAGAATGGAGCCTGTAGTTTGTACAGAGAAAAACAAAGGATGTTTTTGCATTAATAAATTGAGAAATAACTGCTGTAAATTTACTAAAATGTATTTTTGAATATTTTGTAATAGTTTTATAGAAATAAAATGTGCCACGCACAGACTGGTTAGTATATAATAACTAAGAATCCCTGTCGCAGCCCCGCTTTCGTTTCTGTTTTGGCTTCTTTGTTTGGGAACCCTAGTGCTGACAGGAGTGCCCAGCATTATATTTAGATGTGTTGCTTATACTGTGAATTCAGATCAGCTTAAGTAGGTAACCAAAGTAGGTAACCAAACCGACTTGTTTATCTTCATCACTGGAGAAACCTCAGCTCTGTTTGTATTTGTTGTGTGAGAGTCTTTGTGCACTCCACTGGCTGGGGGTGCTGGGAGTGGGTGCCGTTCTTCTCCCACCCCCCAGCCCTTAATTAGCGCAGCCCAGCGCGAAGGCCCGGCAGAGGAGGCCTGCGGGCACGCACCCAGGACTCTCTCCCTGGGCTCCGTGGAGCTGTTGGCAGACCTCATGCCCTCCACCTGGTCGCCCCACGTTGGAGTGCCTGGTCCTCCGGCCTCGAAGGGAGGAGGCCCCTAGCTGCTTTGTGAAGTCCTGGGGTACCCTTTTAAGATGGGTCCCCAGGGAGAGGGCCAAGTGTTGATCTTCTCTGAACCCCTCTGGGACCCTCGTGGCGAACCCACTGAAGAGGGCACATTCTCCACCTGCTCTCAGGGGGCCCCGCCTCCCCTCCTCCCCAGTCACATCTGCTAGCCTCAGGGCTGCCAGGGCCCTTGGGCCACGTTGGTGTTGTCGAGTCCAAGCCGTCTGTCTGGAGTGGTTGTTTGGTGTAGGTTTTCGTCCCTAGGGCATGGTCCTGCTTTAGTGGGCACACTGTGGTTGGCCTCCTATGTCGGCTGGTCCAGGGGAAGAAGTCCTCCATGTTTGACGTTGTGTTATAGACTCAGCTGAGAGGGGCTCGGCCCTTGGCTGTCACTCTCAGTGCTTTGGCTTAGCAAAGGCTACTGTCCTGATGTGTGCTTTGGGCCAAGTGTCCCAGCAGGTTCGGCTTTGGAAGGATGGCTGTGTGCACATAGGGCCTCTTAGCGACTTAAGCCTGTCTGAAGGCTGCTTTGGGTTTGGGGAGCAGAACGGAGCCTGACGGCGTCAGGCAGGCCTCAGTCCCATGGGCAGGGGCTGGAGATGCTGCGCCTAAGGCTAGGCCTGTGGTGGCGTCTTCAGCCAGAAACACCGGGCCCTGAGGGGCTTCTGTGCGGAGGGTCCGGCGTGGTGTGCCTTTTCCAGGAGGCCGTGGGCCAGGGGCCAGGCATGCACCCTGGAACTTGCCCTCTGCCTGCTTCCAAGGGGCCAGGCCCTTCAGGCAGGAGTGGTCCTTGGTTTTTCTCTGTCAAAGACTTTTCTTTGGTCTTCTAGGTAGTTAGCAGGTGGAAGGTTTGCAATCCCTGGTGGAATTTGGTCGTTTCTGTTGTGCTGACCGTTCCGTTCTGAGTGTAAGCCCTGGCACCCCAAGAGCTTTAGCTGTGCTGATTGACGGACTAGTTAGCGGTGAGGCTGGTCGGCCGAAGAGAGCATTGGAGGGTTGGCCAGGCCCCAAGGGAACCACCCGTTGGTGACCCCCAGCGCGGGGGCACCGCGGCCCCAAGCAGCAACCCCCCCCAGTCAGGCGAGGTGGCAGCCCCCTCTCTCTGCTCCCCCACCCTCCCTGTTCCACGTCCGCCGCCCCTTGCCCACCTTTGCATTCAGAATCCTCTCTCTCATGGCCAACAAAAGGGATCCACGCCGTAGAGCAACCCAGCCCAGGGCATCAGGATGTGCAGTCCGCTCCCAGCAGACGAGGTGTCCACTCCACCTTCAGGGTGGACAGGGTGAAGAGTTTGTGCGAAGTGTCCACGCGGTGTTGCCACCAGCCTCCCTCGTGACTAAATGCATACCTATTCCTGTCAAAAGCGTGTATCACAATGTACTTGAAACTGTTATCTTTGTGCTCTATTGTTTGAATAATTAAAGAAGTTACAGAGACTTCCGGCCGTGTCTGTTCTGTGGCAGAATGCCTGCCCTCGGCGATCCTCACCTTCTTCCGCGAGCTTGTGCGGCAATGTGAGAGACAAAGTCTCCGGGGGCGCAGGCCACGCGGGCCTCGGTGGCAGGGTGCGACCGGGCTGTGGGGGGGCCCCAGCATGGCGCTGGGACATTCGGTGCAGCCGCAGTGAGGGGGGACAAGGCGGCGCTGTCCAGTCCTGGTGGAGTCCCTCGGCTGCGGGCATCACACCCACACGGCAAACATTGGCCAGACCTGCAAAGAATACCAGCCGGTTGCAAGATTTGGCAAGAAAGTGGCAGCGCGCCCAGGGCGAGCACGCGCCCGGGGTGAGCCGGCTGCAGGGCTGGTGCGGGGCGAGCCCTCCGACTGCGTTCTCAGTTCTCTGATGACCCATCCTTCCAAAAGGACACGGTACTCAGAGGGGTTGGGAGGCCCTGGGAGGTGGACTTTGAAATGGCTTCTCATGAACAAGTCACCCAACACATGGTTTTCCGCAGGTGCTCTGCTGGGTGTACATACTCGGACCGGGGTTGGCAAATGACAGCCCTGAGAACAGTCCGGCCCTAGGCCTGTTTTTATACAGCCCACGAGCTGAGATTGGTTTTCACATATATTTTTTTTAATGGTCGAAAACAAAAAAACTAAAGAATAAGATTTCATGACAGGTAAAAATTATATGAAGTCCACACTTCAGTGTCCATCAGTAAAATTCTCTTGGAACGCGCCCCCCCACCAGCACTAATTCCTTCACACGCTGTCTGGGGGAGCCTTGGGGCACAGAAGTTGCATCAGGAACCACGTGGCCCGCAGAGCCTGAGGTATTTACTCACTGGATCTTTACAGAGAAAGTTTGCCACCTGTGGTCTAGGATGGGAAAACCTAGGTTGTGGCGAAACAGAGCGCTGCAGTGGGGGCAGGAGGCTGGAGCCGGAACAGAGCTGTGTGCACGCCAACAAAGCACGTTTTTCTGTTGGGATCCAAAGGATCCCCCCGCTCAATTCTGCCCCTTACTCGGAGCCGTAGAGAGGGTGACAGACCCGGAAGAGCGGCCGGCAGCCCCTTGGGCCTGGCGGTGTAACAGGCCCAGCTGAGCGCTACGTGGGTGCGCGCTAAGCTGGAAACGCATGATCTGCAGCGCAAGGTGGGGGCCAGGACCAAGAGCAGAGGAAGATGGGCAACGTTTGTCTCCCGGCTCCGGCTCCGTGAAAATAGCCCCGAGGTGAGAAAATAGGAAGTCTGGATTTGGAGATACTCTCCTTTCTTCGGCTGATTTTGATTTTCTCCAATTAAGAAGAAATCATAGGAATTCACATTTTACCCTATAAGCAAGCTCTGGGGCCTGTTCCATGAGACATGGAAATGGAAGATCACCTTTTCAATGCGTATCTGTGGTTTTCGTGATGGGGGCCACTGTGTTCCCGGGGAGGGGGGGGAGCTGGTGTAAGCAAGGG